TAGTGCTAGTAAGAAGCTTTGCTATGAAAATTTCCTGTTTATAGGCTTATATTATTAATAATTTACGCTAAATCTAGAATATTTTGTTGCTTTCGAAAAAATATAAGATTTCTGCAAAGTAACCTGAAGTGTATAAAAATCTCTACTAATAACACTACAAAAATAACAAATAATATATAAAAACTACAAAATAAACACCAAACAATTTCTCATCATTAATACAAATCTTTATCTTTTTTGCTATAAATTATAATATGAAATTTGATAGAAATTTGATAATTTCACTACAATGCAATATAGCATACACTATTCTAACTCCCTTTAAACAACTCATGCGCAGTTATATAAACAAAATTAAATCGATCCAACCATAAGTTATGTCTATAGAAACCGAACAAAAGCTTAAAAGCAAAATTTTAACCCATGGTCTTTCAATCAGCAAGCAAGGAATACGAATTGCTGATAAGCCAGCATATAATTTTGAAGCACAGCCTAAATTCTTAACTTTAGATGATCAAGTAAAGCTAGTGCTCTCTACAAAGCTCAAAGATTCTTTTTTATTATATAATCATATTGGTTCTTTCAATATCGATTCAGAATATAATGCCTGGATGCCTGACATTGATGACCTTTTATCGAATAAGTCAAATAAATTACATGTTTACCTAGGAATACTGTGTCCAAGAGCAGAAATTAATTTTGAGAATAGAAAAATAAAACCGTTAGAGAACCTAAATGATGCAATAAAAGAAGTGTTGCGACATCACAATCCCTATCTTGAATTATTGAAAATATTTAAAAATTATGGGCATTTTTTGCCCCAAAGCATCATTTTAGGTCACAAATTATATAGGTCATGTTATTTAATTATGAATGATGACTCGCAACAATTTATACATTGGGATGATTTTAACTTTATAACGCATAATAGTATTTTAATCGATGGGAGGAATATATAAAACTACATGACTTTGGCACATCAAATAATGCTATTATTATGAGAGATGAATATGACTTTGATACATCCTTTTTAACATCAATCAATAACGATAAAATTGCAAAAGATGATCTTAAAAAATGGGTGAGCTCTTGTTTAGAAAGTAAAATTGACTCATGGCAAGCTATAAGCTGGAAGGGTTTATATCCATTATATAAAATATTTGATGAATCACTTCAAAAAAAAATTAAATTTATACTTGAGATTGATGATCAAACAAAGACAAAAGAAAAAGTACTTATGATGGGTGTTATTCCAATTGAAGATTCCATTTATTATTATCGTATAAAATTTCCAGTTTATTTGAATATAAAATTTGTAACGCAAAACGGTGAATCAATTAATACTACTATCAGGTTTCAATCTTTGAGCTTATCCGGATTCTCAGTGAAATTGAAAATTTCAATACAAATAAGTACGTATTATTTTTTTATTCTAGTACATGAATACGTAATTGTTCTTAACTTAATGTAAAATATCTAATTTATTTTTTCTTTTCATTTATTTAGAAAATTTTCAGACTTGCAAATAACTTGGATAATGATCGGAATACCTTCGGAGATTGGTTTTTTTAGTATAAACACACGAAATATTCCTATATTGGCTTTAGGAAGTCATTCATTCAAAAGCAATGAAGAACATAAATTTACATTACAAGCTTCGGAAGATTTACCAGCAACCTCTGTTATTTGTGTATCTATATTGCACCAAACATCTTTTTATGGAATGAAATTTGCTATTAAAGATAGCAATTACAATGAAATTGACATAACAATCAATAGAAATAAGAAAGAAACCATGGAGAATTATAACGGTGATGAAGAAGATTTCAGCAGTGAAGAAGAGGATGAAAACAAGATATCTGAAGACATTCATTTTCATGAATATTTACTTCAATGGTGTTTCCTTCCTAAAGATCAAAAAATCGTAGAGGCTGACATTAAGCTTATTCCAACTAAAGATATAATAAATTTAAATGTAATAGGTCAAATGCACCAGAATATTCCTTCTTTACATAAAAAAAAAGCCAAAAATAAAAAATTTGATTTCAAGTATGTAAATAATTTCAAGTATATAAATTTATATAATTACAAGATTAATTTATTTTATTTCTTTTTTTCTTTTTTTGAATCATGCAAATTCCCAAAATAAAAGAGAAAGTATTAGTGATGACAACATATTAAAGCAAGAAAATTTCGTAGCTGGTATCTTTACTGGTACGAATGCATTTTATACTCAATTTCTATATATCATTTTTAGAAAATTTTATCTATTAATTACATAAATAGATGCGTTAGCGCCTTATATCCCCTTGAACGAAGAGATATTAATTATTTATGAGAATGCAGATTATAATAAAATAATGTGCAGAACGTTAAGTTGATCGCGTTGAAGTTGCGTATATTTCCATAAGATGCTTATTGAGAAAACAAGAGAAAAACGATAAAAAATTTCGAGAACAGAGCTTTTATGATTCCTTTTATCGATTTGTAGTAATTTTAAATCATGTAAAGGAGTTCACACATAATATTTCAAAAATTTCAAAATTACAAAAATTTACAAATGCTCAGGCCATTAAGAACAGATTCGACAATATTGTTTTAGATTTTGAGCAAGGTGTTAGAGATTTGAATCCTGAGATTACTATATATAATGTTGAAGAATTAAATTCAATTAAAGAAGTATGCCTTACTAATGTATTAAAACACATCATTGTTAATACTGCTAATATCTCCTTTTTATAGACTGTACAATTTGTTAAAAGCGAAAATATACTTTTAATAAATCAAGTTGCAACAATGTCATTAACTCTTGAAAAGATTGAAGATATGAGGAAATCTAATTCATACAATATCAACAATGTTTTTAAAGTGCCTGAAATTGATTCTGAATTATTTCAAAATCCATTCGACGGAAAAAATAATGATTTACGTAACAAAATCTCAAGAAAAATATATATGTAAGGGGAGTATTCAAGTTGCATGTAAGACTTTTGATCATCTCCAAGACGATAAATCGCTAGAGTTTCAATTTCAGCAAACAGAATTAACTATCTTAAATAAATTGTCAGAATGTCAAAATATTATTCGATTTTATGGTGTTTCACATGTAGATAATTCTAACGTGATGGTCTTTGAGTGGGCGGGAAGGGGTAATTTAAGAGACCTATATTTGAATTTTGAAATAAATTGGGAATGGAAATTGAGAATAGCTTATGATATTTGTAATGATCTTGGGTTTTTGCATAATTGTGAATATCTACATCATGATATTCGTTGTGAAAACATTCTGGCATGTATTATTTATATTTTGATTAACCTCACTTATTAAAGTATATTAATATAAACTTAAACTTTTAGATTACTGATAATATGTTCGCAAAAATTTTGAATTTTAAAAGAAGTCGTAGGTGCTTAGATGTATCTAAACAACAGGATAATTCTGAAGTTATCCATTGGCTGGCTCCGGACAAAATGTGCGATCCAAAGAACCCTAAGGAAGTTTTGTTTCAATATGATAAAAAATCGGAGATTTTTAGGTAAATTTTTATTAAAATCGAAAATTTAATATACTTTGCAGAAACCTTTGATTTTGCTAAATATATTTACTATATAATAAGAATATAATTAAAATATAATTAAAATA